AAATGTTGCTTGTAAATAATTTTCCACTTTTATATATATATATACATAAATATATATGTATATCTTGTTCTTGTTTCCTTCATGTTGAAGATTTTTCTGTGCGCTGTAATTACCATAATATTATATTTGATATATTGTTCTCAACATATCCTGACCCTGACTTGAAAATTTCCAATAAACAAAGCCATAACTGAGAAAACTATAATTACTAAAAAGGTCTGCACTTTTCCCCACCTTCAATCCATTCTATTAGTGACAAATGACAAGAGTATGGTCTGAAGCTTCCACAGCGATTAAGTATAATGAACTTCTTCTCAGGCTACCAGACATGTAAGGTGGTTTGTTCAATGGAGAAAACACCATTTGAGAACCATCTTCATCCTCATCCTCAGGGACCATTGAGTAGATGAATGTTTGGCTGTGGAAACTTTTCTTAAATTAAAAGTACATTATAGCTAGTAACATATTTTTCATGTGCATGACCTTTGTAAAGCCTACAGTATTTTCACATGATTTGCATTTCAGTTTATACTTAGAGATGGAATAGGATAGAATGAGACCAGAATCAGTATGAAGTATAAAAACTGGCAGGCTGTCTCCAAAATCTTCAGATAAGAGTATCAAGTAAGACAACAGTCACTTGCTATACGTCCTCATTCTCTTATTGCATTTTCTCAGATATTATGTACATGTAACACTTGTTGCTGATACACATTTGTTTGTAAGACTATGTGAAAGCTTGTAGTAGCATATTCTTGCTAAAAGCTTCACCAAAAATAATTAAAATAAAGCCTTTAATTTCATCACTATACACATGGAAAATGTCATGGTGTGCCATTTTTAACCAGACAATACTTTTCAACAGTAAAAATTTATGTAAGTCAGTATGAGCACGTTTTTGTATTAATATAGTAACAAAAAACAGAATGCTGTGTAGTTTGCTCCCAAGAAACACATTTGCTGTAACAATACTATCTTTCCCTTTACCACCAGCTTTCACTGTTAGTCATAATGCTGTAATAATTAATGTGTTGAGTGACCTGGTATGACAGTGTATTACAACTGAACAAAGAACAATATTATTATAGTAGTAAGCACAGTAATTTTGCAGTGCATACCACATTCATCATAAGCTTCAATTTTATGACCTGTACAGTGATTGACTAAGGGCTGGAGGGTCAGTGTTCGACCACCAACTGGGGCAGAGAATTTTCAAACTGGCTCTGAGTTCCACCCAGCCTTGTCCAGGGGACCAGGGGTTCTTTCGCCCAGAGTAACGCCGGCCAGGGCGTGACTACTCACCCCCATCTAGTGCCCAGATTGAGAATGAGTACGCGTAGGGGTATAGCTATGTTAGTGCAGTCTGGCAGCTCACTTTAGCCAGACGTAGATCATGAGGTTGTCACACATATTCAAACCGCCACCCTCGAAGCCATAATATTTACACAATTGTTATTCAGAGATGGCAACACTTCAGGCATGACGCCCACCGGGTCGAGCCGTCTGTTACCGCAGAGAGAAATATTCCTCTCACCATTGTTTCGTGTTCACTCAGGTATCAGTGGGGGATGGACAAGGGGTCGTTACAGGTGGTAGTTCCACCACATTGCAACTATAAAAGAAAAATACGCTCAACTACACATTTGTATGTTGGCAATCGCTATCCGAAGTGACTTCGTATTTTCCCAGCTGTAAGTTGCCTGCATTGGTAGGTCCATGACTGATCATAATATTGTATCTGTGACTGTATCAAAATGTTGCTTGTAAATAATTTTCCACTTTTATATATATATATACATAAATATATATGTATATCTTGTTCTTGTTTCCTTCATGTTGAAGATTTTTCTGTGCGCTGTAATTACCATAATATTATATTTGATATATTGTTCTCAACATATCCTGACCCTGACTTGAAAATTTCCAATAAACAAAGCCATAACTGAGAAAACTATAATTACTAAAAAGGTCTGCACTTTTCCCCACCTTCAATCCATTCTATTAGTGACAAATGACAAGAGTATGGTCTGAAGCTTCCACAGCGATTAAGTATAATGAACTTCTTCTCAGGCTACCAGACATGTAAGGTGGTTTGTTCAATGGAGAAAACACCATTTGAGAACCATCTTCATCCTCATCCTCAGGGACCATTGAGTAGATGAATGTTTGGCTGTGGAAACTTTTCTTAAATTAAAAGTACATTATAGCTAGTAACATATTTTTCATGTGCATGACCTTTGTAAAGCCTACAGTATTTTCACATGATTTGCATTTCAGTTTATACTTAGAGATGGAATAGGATAGAATGAGACCAGAATCAGTATGAAGTATAAAAACTGGCAGGCTGTCTCCAAAATCTTCAGATAAGAGTATCAAGTAAGACAACAGTCACTTGCTATACGTCCTCATTCTCTTATTGCATTTTCTCAGATATTATGTACATGTAACACTTGTTGCTGATACACATTTGTTTGTAAGACTATGTGAAAGCTTGTAGTAGCATATTCTTGCTAAAAGCTTCACCAAAAATAATTAAAATAAAGCCTTTAATTTCATCACTATACACATGGAAAATGTCATGGTGTGCCATTTTTAACCAGACAATACTTTTCAACAGTAAAAATTTATGTAAGTCAGTATGAGCACGTTTTTGTATTAATATAGTAACAAAAAACAGAATGCTGTGTAGTTTGCTCCCAAGAAACACATTTGCTGTAACAATACTATCTTTCCCTTTACCACCAGCTTTCACTGTTAGTCATAATGCTGTAATAATTAATGTGTTGAGTGACCTGGTATGACAGTGTATTACAACTGAACAAAGAACAATATTATTATAGTAGTAAGCACAGTAATTTTGCAGTGCATACCACATTCATCATAAGCTTCAATTTTATGACCTGTACAGTGATTGACTAAGGGCTGGAGGGTCAGTGTTCGACCACCAACTGGGGCAGAGAATTTTCAAACTGGCTCTGAGTTCCACCCAGCCTTGTCCAGGGGACCAGGGGTTCTTTCGCCCAGAGTAACGCCGGCCAGGGCGTGACTACTCACCCCCATCTAGTGCCCAGATTGAGAATGAGTACGCGTAGGGGTATAGCTATGTTAGTGCAGTCTGGCAGCTCACTTTAGCCAGACGTAGATCATGAGGTTGTCACACATATTCAAACCGCCACCCTCGAAGCCATAATATTTACACAATTGTTATTCAGAGATGGCAACACTTCAGGCATGACGCCCACCGGGTCGAGCCGTCTGTTACCGCAGAGAGAAATATTCCTCTCACCATTGTTTCGTGTTCACTCAGGTATCAGTGGGGGATGGACAAGGGGTCGTTACAGGTGGTAGTTCCACCACATTGCAACTATAAAAGAAAAATACGCTCAACTACACATTTGTATGTTGGCAATCGCTATCCGAAGTGACTTCGTATTTTCCCAGCTGTAAGTTGCCTGCATTGGTAGGTCCATGACTGATCATAATATTGTATCTGTGACTGGTAATGTGGTATGTTGGTAACACAAATTATACCAGCGGGTGTTGGTTATCCATGTGTTATGGTTTGTAGTGTGTTGTGAAGGCTTGGTGATTTTTGTTGTACTGTAGCATGGGGCGGTTTAGGTGGGACCGTGTAAGAACTATTATGAGAAAATCCACAATACGGATAAAACCTCTGAAGTATGAACAAGAATACACTGACACTCCTCAGTATCCACCAATATTGGATATTTCTTATGAAGCGCGTATAGAACGTGAGAAAAATGCATGGCACGAGAAAATAAAGTCACTTAAAACTGTTGAAGAAAAGCTATTTGAAATCAATATGCCTAGGTATTATGGTTGGAAGCCAATAATGTTATGGGAAGAATTAATACCGTACAACGCAATGCCTTTTGCTCAGCATGTTACTAGGACACACTTCAAGGAATTTAAAGATTTGCCTCATTATTCTACCGGTCTTGAAGAAGAGTCACATAAACTACTGGGGCAGATTAAACCATGGATCGAGGAGGCACTCATCTTCGAATATAAATACAGAAGGTATGAATTTGATGTACTTTTTGAGTGGAGAAGGTTGTTTGCATACCTTTTTTTTTGAACACTCGGTTCTGACCTGGTGCCATATAGTGGCAGATGTGACTAGAAAATCGGTATTTGAAGTCCTTTTAGGTTATATGTGAGCTCTGTCTTAAGTACTTACATTTGCATGGGTTTTACTCACTTGGTTTTACATAAGATGTTGATTTACTATATTGTTACTATCAAAATACTTTCAATTCTTTATTTGAGGAAAATTACCAGCTTTTAGATTCTGTTATAATAGCCAATATATTTGTTTGCAACAGCCGGAAGCATGAACATTTGAACAATGAAGAAGATCCCATAACCTCCATCAGTTTGGATAATATTATGGGACGCTCCATTGTACAACAGATCAACAGAATTTTATTGGGAACTCTGTCAAATAAAGTTCCTCATCTCCTGAAATGTCAGGTAAAATATACATAATTTTCATTCAGACTGGTTTTAGTATAGTCAGATCTTAATGAAGTAAGAATGGTTCATTTATCCAACATTGTGTTTTATATGATGTGCCATGCTGGAACACTCCATTTTATCATCAGTCAACTCAGTGTGTAGTGGAATGAATCATACTTCCTCACCACACACCTTCTGCATTTTATGTGCTCATTGACAGACTTGCTACTGTATGAGCCGTGGCATGACCTTGCTACAAAGAAAAGGCTGGACGCTCAGAAGCAAAGATCCATTACTTATTTCTTCAAAAAGTACTCCAGTCTGTCATTTGTAGAACCGACTGACAAAGTTTTTGTATACCTCAGTTAGTATAAGGTATTCGGCATACTTGTGTATTGACTTGACCATTGTTACAAACCTTTAAGACAGTTTTTTTGTTCAGGTTGAAACAGATCCACGAGTTGAATCATTTTGGAGTGCTGGTGGGATGAATCCACCAACTTTTCTTAGACTACGAAAAGAAAAAGTTCCCTGGCTCAAGGATGCAGCTGACAAACCTGTTGACAGATGGTTTCAGTATCTAGGTTCACCAGTTCTCCAATTGCGACATGAGTTACCTTTACCTGCTATTGTTCAGATGCACGAGTCTGAAAGCCCAGACTTTGATGTTCCATTTTTTCGATATGATCCTAAAGTTATAGGATATCATGAAGCACGTCGATTGGGAACGAACATCCCTGGTTAGTATTAACATTCTGTAATAACTAAAAGTTTTATAAAGGGTTTCATTACTGATACATTGATAAATAATTGCATCTTATTAATGTTACAGGTTTTTGGCCAGGAGATCCATGTGAGTTTGGGCTGTTATCATATCATCATCGAGGTCACATGCATAAACGTTTACTACAATATGGTGAGGAGGACAGAGCAGAAGCTGTTCATGTTCAGGCCATTCTTGCCTCCTATGGTTGGCTTCTTCCTCAAGCATGTTATCAAGGTAAGAGATCAGAAATACATCAAAGTCGCAATCAATATTGTGTATTTCAAAGTCTTTAATAGGCAGTTGATTGTTCTTTACTAATTTCTCTAGATCATTGTTACCTGTTTGCCCCATTTTCTCAATAGGAGATAAACTGAAATACATCTTTCAGAACAGCCATAATGTTGGTACAAAATGGGTTCAGAGTAAGCCGATCAAACTTCAAGACATGAAAGTAATATTATGTACATCATGATTCAGAATTGTATGGTGAAACTATTGATTTGGTTGCACATAACCCTTCAAAGCTGAAGCTTGTCTAAATATTTAAAAATTCAGTACATGCCTCAAAAGAATGCAATATAAAGATTGTCTGTTTATTGCTGTTTAAGGGTTGCTGTTTATAGTGAGAAACATACAAAACTCATAAATATAAAATGCATAGTTACTGATTGTTAAATTAGGTGCATACATTTGCCACTGACCTGTAAAGGGTTAATTACATTTCTGTGTGCAGATTATCAGGTGTTGATTTCCATATCAGAAGATGGATTACAGATTTCAGTGCACTGTTTAAAAAAAATTGCATAAATCATAATTTAAAAATGTTATCATCAAAAACAAAAGCAATTTGAATCTGTGGCACAGATACCAGATGGGTACTTAGTAGTAGAAAAATTGTTGAGCAACTAATGGAATTCAAGTATTCAAAGACTAGAATTACAAAATTTAAAGAGGATATGAGTTATGAACTGTAACACATACTCATAATGTAATGAACAGCATAATATAAAGAAATATCAGCAAACAGTTGATAGCTGAGTTCAGTTAAGAGTGGCAACACTGTGATACTAAAATCAAATGTGGTGAGAGAAGTATTAACCTAGTGTTTGAATTTACTACTAACATGTGAACAACAAATGTGTTAAGAAAAGAATCAAGTAAACTTCTAATGATGATTTAGTGAACTTCTTCAATATCTAATTTGCATCATACCTTTCGGGGTGTCAAAGACAGTTCTTTGCATAGAAAGCTTTGATATTTACACTTTAATTTTAATGGATATTTACAAAAATATGTGCTTAAAATATTTCATTGTAACTGCTGTCTTTCTTTTTCTCTGTAGGTTTCTCAACATTCAATGACATGACATACCCTCTTGTGACACAGACCGTAATAACCAATGGAAAACTGTGGTCATTTTATGTTTACCAGCTGAACACTACTTTGGTGCACTCTGAGCATACCGCCAACAATCCACGTCGTAATTTATGCTGGGGAACACCAGAGTTGAAACTGTTTGAAGGGATTGAAGATGGAAGAGTTATAGGTAAACATGACAGATTGCCACCTTTTAATTTTGTGTGTGCGTATGTTTTTGTCTAATTGTTTCTTATATTGAGAATACTAGCAGAGCACCCACAGGTTTTCTGCAGGGAAATTTGTAAATGTTTACATTTATTATCAGTGTCTATTGCCCAAAAACCTACCATAGGCCTGATCATTCAATACTTATTGCTTATACTTTCTAAGTTACATTAACCACCTTTACTGGGACAAAAGTTTAAGACACATTTTCCAGAGTTTTGACCTTCCAATGTTCTCCTGGCTTCAAGGAATAAGCAAGTTTGGTGCAAATCAGTCTATCCGTTCTCTTTCTAAAATGATCATACATATACAAACCCACAATTTCAGTTTTATGTATAAGATAATACTAATATCAGCATTGTAGTGATTGTGTAGTGTTGTGTATGATTTGTCTGAATTTGAAATAAGTGTTTTGCCGTGTCAAACTTTTGCACATACTTAAATATAATTTTACTTATTTTCCAGGTTTCAATGATGATGTTCTAAAATATTTACTGAAGTTCTACTTGAATACTCCACAAGTCAGAGAAGGTGTAGAAATGAAGCCTTATCTTGATGTTGCTCAGAAGCATATTGCAGACATTGCTGAAGACAAACGAAGAGAATGGCTTGAAGTTGAATTCAAGCACATGTATTCTAATCGACCACGCCATGTTCTTCCTTATGAAGTATACCAGTGGGAAAGAATATACAAAATTTGGCATAAGACACGTCCACTTGAGGCTCGAAGGAGACCATTTGAATTACAAAATGTTCGTCCAATGATGAGACGATACGATGAACATGTTCCGCAATACATACCCAAGAAATTAAGAGAAATAGGCAAACCTAAAAAGAAGTTTGAAGATACTTACTACCCATGAAAGAAGAATCCATGTATTTGCATTTGTGTGCATCTTTTATGTTGTTCACATAGCAGGTTTAAGTTAATATGCCAAAGGAAAACTTGTTCCCTAAGTTTTGCATAGAAATATATCAATTCAAGTTGGGACTGTGTGAAAGTATGACCTCAGTTGAATGGGTAGATGGCTGCTATCTTGTTTCCATTTCAGTGAACCTGAAACTAATTCTGTTCTTTTTGAGTAATAATGTTCATATTGGGTTTATTCATGTTGACTCAACCCATTCATTTTTTGGGCATTGAAATGCTAGTTTAGGCCATTATCCCAAGTCATCATGGCCATATAAGCACTAATATTTTTCATGCTTTCACTCAGTTTGTGTTGTACATCAGTACATTCTATATATCATTTCTTTAAACCTTGTTATGAAGCCTAAAAGTTTTATATAATTGCCTTACATCTGCTGGAGAAAGGATGAAATGCTTCTGCATCTCTGGAAAGGTGCCAGGAGCTGACATTGTTTGGCTAGTTCCACTTGCTTGAATGTCGGCTACTTTTGCCGTCACTGAATGTGTAAATCTTTATTTATGCGCAGATCATCACTTCCATTTCCTTTCATTTCAGGCACCGAGGATAGATTAATATTTGTTTTTACTGGTAATTGAAATGCTGTATTGATCAAGATGTAACTATCTGACAGTCATGCTGATGATGAATTGTTCTCAAAATGGTAGTATCAAGATGCAGTGAAGTACTTGCACTTGGTATGACCGACTTAATATCCTGTCTATCTTTGAGACTCAGAGATATTTATTGGAGAATATGTAGTCACTCTGTAGACATTCTGTGATACACTGTAAAATGATTAAAAATGTATATTATATAGTTGATCACTTCCAAGATTGGATATACCAAAATTGAAACTATGTTCACCTTGAAGGATGGGAACCTTGGGTTGGAAATGTTTATTATGTGGGCCTCTGAAGTTGTCTGTAAATGAAATAAGATTTAAGGGCTTTTCAGGTACTCAACAGCAGCAAGTTGTTGTGGTCTGGAAGAAATTTACCAACATTCCAGATGTGCTGTCAGTCAGTATAATTTTGTTATTGCTCCATATATGTCTGGGAGATGGACAAAGGGCCTGTTGAAGGCCCATTTCCAAAGGGACATAATTTCACCCCATCAAAACAATGTACTGTCCCATTGCATAGAATATCTGGCCTGTCGATTACATCAAAATGTATATTGATGATCCTCAATAATTTTGTATATGTTTGGAGTTGACAGAAGAATGTTGAATAGAATTTTGTGGGTCAGATCTAGATGGTAATATTCATCGATAATTGCCAAAATTTTACCTGCAAGTAAGTACAATAACAGATTATTTCCTCTATTCCGGGAATTCTGATTTGATGCACAAAATATATCACAATGTAGTATGGGCCTATTACCTGTTACTTGAGTCAGTTCTGCTAGAATTTTATCAATACTTTGTGATAATGCCTTTTTAACCCCCAAATTGTTAGGGTCATGCATAAAGTATACTTGATTATCGTCTTCTGTTTATCAAGACATGATTAGTCAGACTATCTTTCTCTGTATTTATGAAATTTACGATGTGGGCATATTGTAATCTTTAAAACTACCTTCTTTGTGTGGCAAAGTTTACTAGTGTGGACCCACTATCATTACTAGTTTTGTATAAACTCTCATTCGTAATTGCTAGTTTGTTAACGTCATCCTTCCCCACATATTCATTGACATGTAACAAGGTTTAATGTGTTTAGGGAATTGATCGAATACGTTCCATTTCAACATGAAATTGACACCACATTTATCCTCGGTGCACCTCTGCAACAATACCACCACATCCTGTTTCAGTGTCATGCTGTATTCAGCATTTCCAGATAATATCCGCAACTGTGCTTTCGAATAATCCATATCAACTTGTTCTTAAATTCTTCCATATTAACCTTTAATTATTAACTTTATAGCTTAGCTTTATTGCATTTCACATAAGTTGGCTAAACTGCACAAGACATTTCGTTTCTCCATTTGTCCCTCGCACACTTCTTAGAACCATCTCAATATGTTCGTGTCAGCAAGTTTATATAGTCATAACGCTCCGGACTTATATTTGGAAAGGATGTTTGGCTGAGCGCTTTAATAATTTCTGCAATATCATCAGGTAAATTCCCGGATAGTAACTATCTGTATAATAATTAAGTGTAGGTTGGTAGCTAGGCTGGTTAGTTGGTTGGTAGGTTGGCAAGATGGCATCCTTCGGCGTGCTGACATAGGATTGACGATCTTGAAATTTTGTTTGACATCATAAACCACAATGTTTATATCTGAAACAGCGTCACTAATAAATTGCGACGAATCTCTACATCCAGGTATCAAAAATAATTACTTCGTGTGAGTCATTTGTTCTATGTATTGTGTGCGTTACATTTTGCAGATAAAAATTTAAAAATTCTTGTATAGCTTACCCAAAACATTAGAAATTAAATCAATTTAAACAGTTTGAAAGCTTTTACACCATACCAATTTAACTTAAGTATTTATGTGTGGTTGTGAAGTCAGTTTCTAAGGGTTTCTTGCTTTTGTGTTTGTGGTTATTCAAAAATGCTTATGTTTGAGTGCAACCCACTGGGTGTTTAAAGAATTACGATGTTGCAGAGAGTGAAATGATATTATTGTTTTTGGGTTTTTTAAAAATTAAGTTAAGAGGTTGTTTTCATCTTAATGGCTTATGTATAATCGAATGAAAGGTGATTTTAAACAGTGGCCTTGAAAGGGCGGGCATGATGTGCTCCTAGCCCAATTAAGCATTATTCAGTCGGCTTTCTTGTTTCGACGGACCTAGGGAAACTATAAAACCTTTCAGGACAGTCGATCGCTAGTCTGATATATCTGGGACGTCCGAATAAGAAATGTTAATCAGCAAGTCGTGTTGTTCGGGTCTATTAACTATATATTAATTCAAAGTTGTGTTACAAAGAACTCGAGTCAGTTCACAACAGACGTAGCTTGAACTAAGTTGGAATACCACATGTTTAGTGAACCTGTGTGTGAGAAGTGGCACGGAAATGTAACGATGAATTCCGAAGTATAGATCGGCACGGAATTAGCCGAAGGCATCCGACTTGGTATCGCGGCGCCAGTTGCTGTCATCGGACATCCGTCAGTCGCGAGGAGCCTGTCGGCAGGAAGGAAGTGTTTCTCTATCGGTGTGATGTGACGTCGTTACGTCAGACATGTGCGAACAGCATGATTCGTCATCACGTCATCATCTGCGTCATATTCCTGTCAGGTGTTGCAGCCCTGCCCCCACTCATCAAAATCGGTGAGTCAGTGCCTCATTCACTTTGTTTAGATTGTCGTATTCTGTGTAAGAAGTGTGTTTGTGTGGTTCCATATACTTCCAGGGTGATTTATTTTCTTGTTCGATTAAGACTCACGCCGATGAAGTAGGCGAGTTATTTAATTAAACTAGTTGAATTCTGGATAATCAGAAGTTGATGCACGGTTATGTACGTATGACTGAGTTTCTGAAGTGACTGCGATTTCTTGACTTTAGTTCCCATTCATCAAAAGCGCCTGTTTATTGTGTGTGCGTGGCCATAAACAGCCTGAATTTAAAAAAAAATGTAGAGTGGTTTTTCACCGATATTGTTCCACACAGAAATTATTTACAACACAAGAGACTGGTGTTACGACGCGATATATCTAGTTCATGACATGGAAAGGGTTTACGACTGTTAATATTTTGTGCCGTTCTGATGTATTGAATTACGTAAATTCAATTTCAAACGGACAAGTTTCGCCATCTGCTGTGGCAGTTAGCGTGATTGGATCGAATCTCCACTAAGAAAATACAACTACGAATCTTTCGTTAATATCCTTATCACGCAGTTTGACGCGAAAGTTGGTGCGTTTGACGAATTTCTGCTGGTCGCTGAGTGCAGCCATTTGTATGCGAGGTCATTCTCACTTCCTCTACAGCCCACACAGTTGATGTAATAGGGTCGAAGAAACTTCGTAGTGAGGTCAGATCGAAACAAATAAACAACTAGTCATGTCAAAAATGTGTATTGACTAAAATTGTTAAGTTCCATGTTGCACATGAGAATGACATGCCATGTTCAAAGTCAAAGTACAAATGAGGGCTGGGAATAATAGCGAGTACAATATGAACGTATAATAAACGCAAAGGTGGTACAGCCATCAATGGAACGACATGTCTCCAGTCCAATGTTGAATGATTCTGCGTTCGTAATTATAGAAGCGTTACATGTTTAATGGATGGTATAAAAAAGGTTTTGTAGGATTTGGGCTTCTCACGGCGCTGAGTACGGATTGTGTGTACCAGATTACACGGTGCTACAACTCAGAAGAAAGCCATCTTCATAACTAGGTTTTCTCCAGGCGTAAGTATATTGGTATTAGAGGATTCTTATACTTTATTACAGACCACAGGATGCATTTTTTTACTTGAAGTGTGATTCCTTAATCATGTAAACATATGTTTACGTAATATTCTATGCGTCTTACGTAAAGTTTATGGAGATGAAAGAGGGAGATGTCAAGATTCTGATTTTTTTTTGTTCTCTCAAGAATGAGCATCACAACCATGTTTTTACTTGGCAGGGCAAGTTTCATTGCTTCCGGATCGCTATGACAATCCCACCAATTAACTAGAAGAAAGACAATTTTGTCGATGTTTACTAAGAAAAACGTGTTTATAAAATCGTCACAAACGCCTTTGTACCATTTTACCACTCCTGTTGGCTTCAACAAGAGTTTTTTCATGTTTAAATCCTGCTTAATCTGACCAGTGGTTTTTTCTAGACTACCTTTCCAAACTTTTCTTGGGGTTCTTAGAAGCAATGGGTGGGCTGATGAGGGCAGGTGCGTGACCTGGCCAGCAAACGGCTACCACCGTTGCACTTAGCGTCCCACTTCGTTAAATGCACACGCTTTGTGAATCTGCGTGTTCTGCCAGATATATATCCCTTGTTAGAGTGAAGTAGAGAAATAAGCTGTTTTTCGGTTCCCTCAGTCTGGCCTCGGCATTGCCCATTAGCCTAATATTAAATAAATATATCCATAAGTATCTGAGGGATCATGTAGTTGTGTAGTTTAAACTGGAAGCGTACCAATATATTTTGCATACTAAAACATTCAAGATTAAAATGTGTATTTAACCAGTGTATGGAACCAAAGGAAAATAAAGGTTTACTTACGAAGCACCAAAAGTGTACCGCTTGACACCATGCAAACCATATCACGTGACCAAACCCACTAGTTCTTCAGGATCTAATTAATTAACTAGTAATGTAGATTATATACACCAGTCCGCAAATTTTATTTCCTCAACGCATTTGACTGCTACTGTTGACGAATTTTATTTTTGTTTGTGCCGATAGGAAGTTACCCGTACATGAATTTCAAATCAAACTTCATAATATTTTACAAAATGATACGTCGTACAAAAATGCATACATAAACTTCTGTTTTAGTTGGGCATGCTGTGCTCTGTTGTGTTATTAAATGGTTGACTTGAAAATGTAATCGCGATGATTGTACACATTTTTACTCCAACGGCATTAGTCTATATTTCGACCAAATGTTCTTCAAAGTGACTTTTCCCTATAGGTAACTTCACCGACATACATAGGTACGTGCCGTGTTTCCAGACAATATTAACGTCTGAATTTTTGAAGAATGTGTGAAAAGGTTTATTTGTTATTACGATGTAATTCCATAACAAATTTTAAAATCAAGTCAGTTAAAGGTTAAATATCCAAATATTTCGTACAATATTTTTTTGCGTTTGTGGTACTATGAGGTGAAGTTACATCAAGGTAAATTTTATAATT